AGGCAATAAAGATCTGAAGATGCTCATTCAAATACATTTTCTGTCTCTTCTAAAACTGGATGGAATACAATATGGTGTCTTTTTTGATGCACACATGTCTGTAAAGCTGATAGAACTGATGTTTATTTTACTGCCAGTAGAAAAAACATAATAAGTGTAGGGACTTGTGACACAGGAAGGGGTCAGACCCTTGCTTCATTCAAAGAGGAAGCTGCTTGCTCCTCAGCATTTGTGTTGCAAATTGTTCCGGGCTTTTAAAGGCTCTATTTCACCCTGTCTGACCCTTCTTTTTTTTTTTTTTTTTTTTTTTTTCTTTCTTTCCCTTTCAAGTAGGATTCTTTTTTTTTAGTGCAATTCACCTATGACATTTACACTGGATGAAACAGCATCATTGTTGACCTAAGCTGGTTTTACTTGTTAGGCTATGCTTTACCCATTTTTCTGATATGTTTCTCTTTAAAGCTCAGCTTCAGCAAAACCACACAGATTAGTCCCAATTGTGTTTTACAATATTCCATTTAATGGTTAGTTTTGGGAATGTCAGTTTATTCCTAAATAATTGAACCATCCAAGTGGAAGCAGGACCATGGTTATAGCACAGGCATGTTATGTTGGGCAGGGATAGCTGACTTCTTCGAGATCCCCTTGGTTAGCAGGATGTGCAGTGATCTTATTTGGGAGAAATGGCTTGGGGATTCCAAGTCTACAAAATTTCTGCCAAGAACCTCCATCTAACTTCTCTAATATTATATAAGAAGATAAAGCGTGGTCAACATAACATTAGCTAATTCTACTTTTTTTGTGATCAGAAACAGCAATAGGATGTATTAAGTGTCTCATTCAGATTATCTGAAGATATTCTTGGGAAGTTTTGAAATACCGTCTTTTATATTGTTATGTTTAAGAAAGTATACCTATTTAAAAGAACTTAAATTCTGTTTTTTTAACTAAGAACAAGAAATTTCTTTAGATCATCTAGAAATATTCATGAGAAGTGTTGCTGGGTAAAGCTGTAGTAATTAATGACTTGTTTGAATTGAAGAATGACAGGTTCCAACTACTGTATAGGAAGCTGTACTGTGTCCTAAAATGTTTGATTTTCACATAAAAAGGAAGAATTATGAAAGTTTGAGAATCAGTATTATTGCAAAACTTAAGATTTTATCATGTGGGCTTTATCATGTGTAATGGACATGGAGACCTGGACTTAATTTTCTTCAGGTGAATACAGTATAGACATCTATGTGTAAGAAATCCATTCAGTATTAGCTTTACATGTGGAAATAAAGGGAATTCTCATAAGATTACACTAAAATTCAGCAGTTTATTTTAATTATATTTTTTAAATACTACAGGAGGAAAGGCTGACCAGCTTTATTTGTCTTACTGCCCCGTTTATCTCCCTGCAATACAAGAGTATCTGCTTCACATTCCTTGCAAGCGTTCCCTGGTATGCAGTGCCTCCCCCACACTGTGGGACTGAGCTGGCCGAGCAGCGCCTCTCCCCATTAGTCATCACTGCCTGATGCTGTGTGCAGGAAAGTAATTCTTTAAAGCAGTTGCTCCTAGTTAATTTTTTTCAACGATTATTTCATAATACATCATTGCAGTAGTAGCTTGTAAGTATGGACCAAATCTTGGTCAACAAGCACAAGCATTTCTATGTGGAATGAAAAGATACAGTGCAAATAAATCACTACTTATTTCCTTTAATCTACTTTCCGAATTGTTTAACTTCTGCCATTCAAACACAGCTTCCATTCATGTGTTTGGTAAGCTTTTGAAAGCATATGAATGGTAATTTTCCCAGTTTTTCTGGAACTTTAGTTCCAGCAATGTCTGCAGCTGGCTGCCTAATAAAAATGACTTGCATTCCTAGAAACATTGGATTGTGCTGATGGCTCAAAAGACTAAACTGTATTAAAATATAACCCATGCTGTTACATTAAAATATATTTTGGCTTAGGTGATATTAATATAAAGTAAATTGCTACCTGCAGTGATGTTTAGTAGTGCTTTTATTAATGTGGATTAGCCATTTACAGAAAAGGTCTCATCTTGTAGCAGTTTGTTTTTTTAACGTTGTAATCCATCTGTTCTTACGTTATTGAAAGGCTTTCCTGTGTCTCTTGCTTTCGTGATTTTTATTTTCCTGATGTGTGAAATATTCATATAGTGTTGTAAGAAATGCAATAATCACTTTGATTGTGCTGCATATGAACATTACTAACAGTTTTACACTGTCTTGCACCCTGGTTGTTTTTTTTTTTTAATGTGCAACCTATGTTTTATTTATTCCATGTTGTCAGTTTTGGTATAGTGAAACTTCATTTAAATGTAGAACTTAATTTTAATGTAGTGATATTATTTTTCCTAAACCTTTTATTTTAAAAATTATTTTAACTAAAAAAAAATGACATAAGTAACTAAGAGAGAAAATAAATAGTGCAACAGTTGTATTTCTAGTTAATATTTTATTTGAAAAGTTTGGGGCAAATGAAATATGCAAAATGCTTCTATTTTAAAGTGTAGGATATAGAGAATTTTCATTGTCAGGATTAGATTTTTTTTTTTTTAATGAACTATTAGTCTCTCAAGGAAGGTACTAATATTATAATAGTGTTGAGTCCCAAGTCATGGAGGACTGTTATGACAAATTCCTCATACTCTGTATTAATTACCTAATAGTCGTTTCTGAGATATGCAGAAGTTGCTGATGAAGTAGGTCTGCAGTGTCCAGTGGGCTCAGCAGGTCTAAGTTTTTCTAGTATTTTGTTCTTGAAAATGAGGTTTGCTTTTTCTTGTTGATACACAAAGATAATGAGTGAAGTTCCTCTAATTTTTTTATGCAGTTCTTTACAGAATCCTCATCACATTTCTCAAAATATTAGTTACTCGTTCTTACTGTATTTGTCACTCCTCTCTGCTGCCATAACTGCAGGCAGATAGGTTAACTAAGACCAGTCAGTGTGGTACAAGTATCACGTAGCTGATTCCAGACTACCACACTTGTTATTGTTTCCCAGACTAACACTGTTTGAGATAGGACAGTGGTCAGTGATGTCTGGTGAGAATAAATTCTTAAGCCTCGGTTGGTAAAGACTGGAGGAAGAGCAGATGGGTTGGAGACTCAGCTGTGAGAGCAGCCACAGCTCACAAGGTGCAAGTGCTCTCTTACAGCAAGGACTGATAACCAAGTGGCAACCATGGTCCTTTTAAAATAAGCAAGAGCTTGTTTTAACAGCAGCAAAACCTCCAGTAGCTTTAACACATGATCATCTCTCTGGGATGTTTTCTCTGTTGGTGACATCAGTGCCCTTTTTACAGCTCTGTTGACTGTCACTGTGGCAGGGTGTCCCAAATGGATCTGAAGGCACGCTGCTGTAGAGGGCAGAGCACACTCTTCACACCTCACCCTTCCTACCCAGTCCAGGGATCCTTCCCTGCTGCTCATCTCACCCTGTAGTGACACTATTCAACTTATTATCAAATAATAGGAGAAAGCTATTCACTTGGATTTATTTGTGGTTTAGCAACTTTTCTCCCTTTCTTTGGTTAGTTTTCTGCTTAGCAAGCTAAGCTCACCCATCAGGGCAGCAGGTGAATGCCAGAGATGGTGCAAGGAAAAAGAATGGTTCAGAATGCATGGTTCAGAGTGGCACTTGTACAGAGAACAGCAACCACAATTAATTATTAATTCAGCTCTGCCTGTCTTTTCTAAACTACTGTCTTAAAAGCATATATTTTGAAAAGGACACTTGACCTTGAAGATGAAAGATTTACAATTTGAATTTATGGTCTTTTTCAGGGCTGTGTCTGTTCAGATTTGAGGTTTGTTATTTTTAAGTTGGTACCTACAGACTGTTGACATAACTAGATTGATATATTGCCAGCCATATCCTTGGCTGTATCAAAAGCAGTGTAGGCAACAGGTTGAGGAAGGTGCTTCTCCCCCTCTACTCCATTCTCAGGAGACCCCCTGGAGTGCTGCATTCAGATCTGAGGCCCTCAATATCATAAGGACATGGACCTGTTGGGGCAAATCCAGAGAAGGGCCACAAAGAATGATCCAAAGACTGAGGCACCTCCGCTGTGTAGATAGGCTGAGAGAGCTGGGCTTGTTCATCCTAGAGAGCAAAAGGTTCTGGCAACGCCTTGGAGCACCTTCCAGTACCAAGGGGGGCTACAGGAAAGCTGGAGAGGGACTTTTTACAAGATCATGTAGTGACAGAACAGGGGGCAATGGCTTCAAATTGAAAAAGGGCTGGTTAAGATTAGCTTTTAGAAGAAATTCTATACAATGAGACACTGGCACAGGTTGTCCAGAGAAGCTGTGGCTGCCCCATCCCTGGAAATGTTCAAGGCCAGGTTGGGTGGGGCTTTGAGCAACCTCGTCTAGTGGAAGGTGTCACTGCCTATGGCTAGTGACTAGAACTGGATGACTTTTAAGGTCCTTCCAACCCAAACCATTCTGTGATTCTATGATCTAAGAATTGGTGGCAACATACTTTTTTTTTTTAATTCCCCTCCCAAAAGTGCTCTTCTCTAGCAGGAATTCACAGCCCTAAAGAGGGATGTGGTGAAGAGTAGGTTTTAATGTGTGAAGTAAGCCTGTTAAAATTACCAAAAGACATAGAAAGTCTAGAAGACTCCAGAACTCTAAGACTTTACTGACTGATTAGGATTAAAGTAAAAATTGTAAATTAGAGGAAATCAGATTTAAGTGGGGAAAAATGGTGTGGACTGCTGGACTACATGTGCAGAATATTGCCTTCTGCAGCACCAAATTCAGGAGAGAAGACATGACAGATTGTATACTAGTTTCTGCAAAAACTTAGTGAACTTTACACATTGCTTATGGAATGCCTTTCTTGTACATTATCTGAGCAGATGTATTTAATGAGACTGCACAGATGTTACAGATGTTCAAAGGCTGGGGATCAGAACAAAAGAAGTAAGGAAAATTTTATATTTAAAACTTCTTTTTAATATTTGTTTAATTTTGGATTATACTATGCATTATATGGAAAAAAGAATTCTCAGTCTGAGGTGATGCATGTAGTCATACAGCAAATGACAGGCAAAAACCTATGTTTGATTCAGGAATTAAAAATCTGACAATAAAACCTGTATGTCTTCAATGCATGGAGATGGCATTAAAATGTGTTTTCTGCATGTGCTTTTGTATGTTCAGATAAATACACTCTGGACTATTTTTGAGATACATGTCAGCAAGCAATTAAATACTGGTTTGACGGTTTCAATCAACTTCTATGCAACTTGCAGCACGTTTTTGCAGTACTGTCAAAACATGCATACCCACAGGACGTGAAAATTATGTGAATTTAATTTAAATCTAAATCACTGATTCTAATGTGAGACTAATTGAAATAAACCCTTTATTATCAGTTGAATTAAGTCAGTAAGAGATACCAAGTAGTACCTGTGATTGTGGAATTTCACAGCTAAGAAGTATAATGTTAGGGTGCTTATGAAGGCGTGAGCAGCATTGCATGCATCAAGCAACAGATTTGTTCTTGTTTGCTATAGGTAGTTAAAGGATACATTTGAGGCCCTGTAACACCTTAAGGAAGCACTATATGAGGACAAAAGTAATAAACTTCAGAAACCACTTCAAGGTACAGCAGCACTGCTCCTTTAAGAAATACTATTTTTGTATATTTTACTTGTGAATTCATTAACTCTTTGTGTATCATTTAGAATTATTAAATTAGTAAATATTATCAGTAAATTATGTTAGTAAATGTTGTTTTAAAATACTCAAAAACTTTTAGAGACATAGAGCAGTAGAAAAAGTTGTATGACAAAAGTACTGAAGATATATTGTGCCCATGAGCTCATTTGCTGAATTCAGGTTTAAGTGTAGAAGGAGGGATGTATGTTCCTTGTTGGGTTAGTTTCATTGGTTATCCTGGAAGTACCTAAGCATGATGTGTACCTGAGCCATCTGCAGTGGTACTGCTGAACCCATGGCTCTGGTGAGGTGCCCAAGTGTTTGAAGTCATTTATAAGCAACTGAGAAAAAAGACTGGCTTTTACATGATTGCACAATATTAACTCTAGCTATTTTGGAAAGACAGTGGAATCACTTCTTGGTACTTCAACTTGCCTAGATTAGGTTTGAAGGTTTACAGCAAGAAAACTGTGTCCAACTCAAAATGGAAACAGAACTTGTTCTTAATTTTGTTGTTATGATAGTTCATCTTTAATAAGACAAACTGGTCTTTAGGAACCCCTAGGGGGTCTAACCAAGAAACAAGAAATTCTGGGCTAGACATTAAAGAAACACTTTCTGAAAAGATTTTGTTTTCCTAAGAAAGCAGAGGGTACCTTGTCTTTTATTACGCTGTTAGAAGCCGATTTTAAAATGTGATTTGCATACATTTTGACACCTATATGGATAACACCTTTTTGGCTGGATAGAGCATGAAAAGGAAGAGAACCCTGTTTGTCATAAATCTCTGTATGAATAGAATGGAGCAAACTTCATGCATGTCTGACTGAAATCAAGTGAAAGGGAGTGGAGTTCCATGCCTCAAATATGGACAGATTCTGATACATGGAGATGATAAGCAGAAAAAATAAGACACCATCTCAGAATATGGATATATGTCAGTCCTTCTAGGATTTCCCAAAAATAACAGTCTAATTCATAGATTTAGGAGTGTTATGTGCAGGACTAAGGCACACCTCAAGTAAACCAGTATTCCTCATTTTTCCAAGACATTAAACAATACTCCGGAATCATATGGGATTTCTGGAGGAGCTGCTGTGAAAAGTTTGGATTGCTGAGGCTGTAGTCTCATCTGTAATGTAATGTAAGCATAACTGAGTGTCTGTCAAGTGCTGCTTGTTAGTCAGAGCTTTGTACTCTTCCTCAGTGCAACAGTTTGATTTGTTTATGAAGGTTTATAATGCTCTAAGAGTAAAATGATTGTCTCATAGGCCACAAACACAGCTCTGTGGAGTGTGGTTCTGAAAATGGATCAGATGCTTGATTTCTTGGAGGAGTTGAGCCAGGGTAATTGGAATTCATAGAAATCTGGGTCCTCTGTCTTCTTTTGTGCTAAATGTGGTTTAGATAAGATGTCTGCAGAAATGATCAGCTAGAGATTCAGAGATTCTTCTGAAATAATCTCCACATGCAAAATCAGTACAATTTTGGCTTTCTCATGCACTCTGACTTGCATTTCTCTAACACCCCTCTTCTGTCCTTTGGTGCTGAAATATCCACGGCACTGAAACATAAGAAATGTGATTTGGGGTTCAGAGTGAGATTAACATACAGATACAGAAAAACCCGAAATGCTTCATACCGCTGCTACTCAAATATATGGCTAGTGTTTTATTGGGTTAAAGTTTTTTGCCTGAAGTCTCTTCTGGTTTTGCTGGTGTTGAATTGCTGAAGCCATAGCCTTGTTTCTAGGTGGGAAAAAAATCCTGCATGTTGACCTACCTAGCAGTGCAAGGAAACAAAATTAATTTTAGCACTGCTTTAGGCCCACACAGCTTTAGCAAGAAACATGTGCACTCCCAACAGATTGGACTCTTGTTTCTGGATTTTAAAGTTTTAGTCCCAATACACATTCCAGACCAGGCTGTCTCTGTGTGCTGGGTACTAAGAAATGTTCCTGGGTTCAAGTAGCTTAAATGTGCAAGCTGTCTGATAATGCCAGTGTCCATCAGGAAAGCACTTAATATTTAAATTTTGGGCCTCATGTTGAAAATTCTGTGAGAGTATTCTGATGCACAGCATAAAAGAGTCACCATAAAGTGCTACTGGCATATCACTTCCTTCAAGAGACACAAACCAAATTTCATCAGTCCAAATCTAACTACAGAGATTAGATACTTTCTTTTCAAGATAAGCTTAAATACACCCTGATATCCTAACTTCATGCTCACATCAGGCAAGTTAATGTCTATATATAGGCTTTGGTAAGTAGGCAGTCTTATTAATGGTTTTAAATATACATATATATATATATATATATAAAACCAGAAACACATTTATAGCCTGAAAACAGGTTACAAAATAATCATTCTTAGCTGCTCCTTATCTCATAGACACTTACTTTCTTTGCTCATCTTGCAAGCTTTAAGTGACCCCCACCAAAAAAAAAATACTTTCCCCCATATTACCTACAATGAATAGCTATTTTAACTATTAACTAGTTTTGTTCTTAGCCTTTCTGCAGATTGTGGGTTCTGTACAGAAATTTCTCTATTAAGATCCTAGCATTAGAAAATAATTATTTCCTGTGCACTATTTTCTCAATATGATTAAATGTAGAAGTTGTCTGTCAATTAGCACAAACTGTCTCTGCTAGTACCACATTGTATAAAGATAATTATTTACAGAAGTTAATCTATAAGATGAATGCCTGTGGTCTTCAGCTAAACTGTAAAAGTCCTTTCCTATTTAAATATGTGTCTTAATATTGTTGATAAATTTCCCACTTTAGACTGAAAACTAAAGCATTGGTTATCACTTCCTGAAACATTTGGTTTAGGTGATTTATTGCTGGATTACTTAAAATGCCCAATGTTAAGGTACAGTAAACTGTTAAGATCCTGATTTTATTAAAAAAAAAAAAAAAAGCTGACATCAGCCTTGGTTTTCAGAAGATGGGTTTTTATTTTCAGATAGTGAAAGCGTTGCTTTGAATTTACTTCTGTTAAGATTGTTGCATGGTTACTATGCATATTCCTGACCTGCCCCTCCCCAAAATTCTGATGGGTTGTTTTGTTTCTTTATAGAAGTTAACTCTCCCTTAACACTACCCTGTGTTATATTCTAAATATTCATGATCACTCAATGCCTTACTGGCCGTTCAAGACCTCTGATATGACCTTTATCACATGCTGATGTGAGGCAGCAATCACCATTCACTTTGCAGCAGCCTTGCAGCCCCGTGGATCCCCAGGATTATGTGTTACAACATGCTTTGACAGCTGCTCCACAGGCATGAATCTGAGACACACAAATAGGTATTAGCAGTGTGTAATGTCCTCTGCATAAAGTGATGGAGGTATACCACACAACCACTAGTTCCTTTCAACCTTCTATTTCTCACCTGAGCTGGAACTTTTTACGAGCATACATTTTTCTGGCTTTTTTTCCCAGTCAGTTTTAAACATTGTACCTATTTGTCTTTTTTATTTGCATGTTGATATTACTTGCCTATTATTTCTATACCTATTATTGTTTCTTCTGCTTATTTATACTTCCATATTTTATTGTGTCTCATTATTCCTAGGCTTCAGTGATTGCCTCTTCTGTGAGGCATGTACACCTGCAATGAATGATTTCCTAAACAGCAATCCCAGAAGCATTCAGGGCTATTTTGTTTAGCTAGGCTTATGCCTCAAAAATATAGTGTTTTATTTTTTACTACAAGTCCCATGTTCAAATTAAATAAAAACGAAGCAACCAAACAAAGCCACAAACCAACTGGTTATGCACCTTCAAAGATCTGTTGGCTAAATTTCTGGGCTCCATTTTTGGGTCTAGTGGGTCAGGATATTTTGAATCCAGTTCTCTCTTCTGTCTTTCAATTCTATCCAATTGAAATCACTGCCAGGATTGATTTGAATCCCACACTGCCCTCTGAAGAGCTTACTTACTGTAAGTAATCTTTGAGAATTCTGGGTCTGTTTTCACACTCCCCATCTTCTTCCAAGGCCTCAGGCAGAAGATTCTGTGATTAAGATAGAAACCTGAATAAATTGGGGCCATTCCTGCTTCCGCCACACTGGGATCTCTGAATAGTCAGGAGGGTGCACAGCCAGGGAATGGAGCACTCCAGAGAACAATTCTAGCTTAATTTCCTGGGGAACACCACTCCATGAATGTGTTCAAATATGTGGAATTTAATTCTGAAACATTGTAAAATACCTTGCAGGGTGAGCTGACATTTGTTGGTATGTTTCATGTTGGACACAGCTGTAAGAATAAATTTGCATTTAAACTGAGGTCCCATGCTGGTCTGCTGCAGATTTCTTGGTTTTGGCTGGATTTAGTGGACAAGCCGGCAACCCCTTCACTGCAAGAGGAGTTGCATGTATGTAAGAAGAGCTGAATGGCTGCCTATTTAAATATAGTTGAAACAAATCACTTATAATGGTATCATTAAACTTTGAACATGCTGTCATTCCAAATCTTGAGAGTTATGTCAAAGGAATTATTTCTGGTTAACAGGGACCCCACCATTTCCAGCAGCAGTCAGCTGGCTGAAGGTTTGGCAGAGGGATGCTTTAATATGCAGAACTGTGCCACAGGAAAGCTCAGCTTGTTGACTGAATTTATTTTGGGTGGTGACACCATAGCTCTGATAGCTGCATACTTGTGAGTATGGAGTACTTGTAAGAAGAAAAATAGGTGGTAAAGACCCTTGTGTTTATCCAGCAGCTGACTGTAACAGAATCTTAATCTGCTTGGTCCGCTTGTACTCCACTGTGTAAAAATGAAAGATAATCAGATCCTCAGAAGCTTAATTTTTCATTACTAGTTACTGTACATTATTGTGTGGAGTTCAGAACCTGAATTTGGAGTTAATGTGGACAGTGTGTGTATCCTTGCCAGCAGCGGCTGAAGCTGTGGCACTGTTGATCGGAGGACTGACTTTCCCTAAGCCTTCAAGAGCTAAATTAAAAGTTTGACGAGTTTTCAGGAGAAAAATCGTGTGGACAGCGGAAGGAGTTTTGCATTAACTCTGCCGATGCTGACCTTCGCTGTCGGGCTGTCCCTGCTCGCCGCGTGGACAGGACGGTGCGGAGCCGAAGGACGGCTGCGGGAGCGGGCGGCGGCTCCGGGAGGGGGAGCTCGGGGCCCGCCGCTCTCCCCGCCCGGCGCTCCGCTCCCGGCAGCCTCCGGCCGCTGACGGCGCCTGCGGCCCGGCGGCCCCGCCGGAGGACGGCCCGAGCCCGGCGGGCGGAGCTGTCAGCGCGCCAGGGGAAGGGGCTCTGGTGGGCTTAGAGCGGCGGGCTGACTGTGAGTGAGGGTCGCTGCAGATCCTGCCTTGCTTTGTTGCTGCTGTGCTCGAGCGGCGTGAGGAACCTGCTGTAGGAGCCGCACGAGGCTGTAGGACACAGCGGTTGCTGGAGAAAAACATCCACAGCCTTACATACCTGCGCGGTGCGGAGGGAGGTGACACGTGTTGAGGGGCTGCCGGGGACACCTGCGGTGTCCGAGGTAGCTGAGGTGTTCAGGGTGCCAGGGTGGCATCCAGCTCCCGCCCCGCTGCGCTCCGGGAGGTGCTCCCGGGCTGAGCCTTGTGCAGGATGCCCGAGCGCAGCCCTGGCCTGCGTGACTCAGTGTGGCAATGCCTCCTGTGGACCGAACACCTTTTAAAACCGGCCTAATGGTTCACGGTCATGTAAGTGAGCAAATCAGGTCTAGATATATGAAGGAGGGAAGAGAATAGCAGTTCGTTACTTTAGCAAAGAAGGAGAAAATAGATTTAATTATGAGTATTTTAGACTCAGAACAGGAAGTGCCAATACTGAAACTTCATGCATAACCAGAACTTTGACCCTTGGTTATCTGTACTGTGATTATTTTTACTTTTTTTCCCAACTATATCAGCATGCTGTTGTGCAGATATGATAGTTCATGTTGCTTACAGTCTTGGAATCTAATATAGTCTGTGATTTTTATTTTTATCTGCACAAATCTACACAAATTATTGCAAAGATTTTTAGCTTGAGAGCAGACACTAAGCTCCATTTGCTGCAGCCTCAGAAAGGTTAAAGAGAAATGCATGCAGTAACTTCAAACATAGCAAGACCCATATTTTCAAGAAGTCACCTTGATTTCTTCCTTAAGTGTGTGTTTGTATGTTCTGTGTTTTGTTTTGCCATTTTTTGGGTACATTTCACATGTGGCAATGTGGTTAAAAATAATGCAAACTATGATTACATTGGTAATTGGTAGTATTTTAGAAATATATAACTCACTGAGAGGTTTTTTTTATTTGGTTAATAACATGATAATGCTACCAAAGTAGTTTAAACAAAATATGCCAGTGTGAAACTGCTGACTCTTGAATTGGCAGCTGTCAACTTTTTAATGCTATGTTTTATGTGTATTACGTAGAGCTTTTTAAATGAAGAACAAGGCAGTTGCTGAGTGTTTGCTTTTGGAAGCCTCGATATGGCTCTAGATGTCTAAGCTCAATTTAAATTATTTCATTTGAAAAAATTAAATTTCATTTAAAACTTTAATGATACTGAATTATTCTTTAAATATATCTGATTTCTGTCAGTGTGCAGTTCTTGGAAAGAGAGGGATTACCTGCAAGCTTTAAGGGCTGAATAGTATCAGGTTTAATGCTGGCATTACCGCATTACCTCTGCTATGCTGCAGTATGAATTACAGCTGGATTACTTGCTGTGTGCATGGATTACAGTCTCCCTCTATTTGTTTTAATGAACTTAAAAGGAGAAAAACAATGTTCTATATCTCTATTACATTTTTCTAAATGGTTATGACTGTTAAGTGACACTAGAAAACTTCATTCGACTATTCAGGGGAAAAAACAAAACCTACTTGTTTACTTGAAAACAGCGTTATCTGATAGAGGTCTGTCTAAGTCTGTGAAATACTATGGCTGTTAAATGAGCTCTGATTTCTGTAAAGTGAGAAATATCCTGAGGTATCTAACCAGTGTTGCTTTATATTTAATTAAAATACAAAACCAGCATAGAATGGTTTATTTAAAACTCACTATGTACCAGATTTTGACAGGTAATTATAAAGAGGAAGACAGAAGTCCTACAAAAGTAGTCCATGTAACTCTAATGTTTTATAATTCTACAGTTAGCCAGGAAGGGGTGGGAGAGTATGTAATAATTGCAACTCCTAAACTGACATAAAATTACTAACAAGAGAGAGTTTCCAGATAAAGGATGAATCAAGATTGCTTGTGAAAGAGGGCTCAGCAGGCCTTTTTCAGTATATTGACTCTATGAGGCTACGTCTGGAGACAACAATACACACTGTACTTGCAGGGCAAGAGCAGTCTATTCTAGGAAGCAAATGCTAAAAGACTCAAGGTTGTGTTATACAATGTGCCCTGTCTCCATCCATACACTGTAATTCAACCATGGATTAATACCAGATTGAAGCCAAAGGTGTGCCAGGAATGTTTTGAAAGGGAAGGAGAGCAGAAAAAGAAATTGCGTCTCTCTTTGATTCATGGTATGACTGCAGCTGTAACATGCAATGGCTGGTGTCAGCTGCCACACTTTGCTCTGGAGCCTTCAGGCCATGAAAGTTCACTGTCCTTTTGTAAGTGCCACTCTGATGTTCTCTGAAAGTGTTTCATAGTCTGTTGCTAATAAAGTTCTTGGCTATAATTGATATCTTGTAGTGGGAGGAGCAGTAAGGGAGCAGAAAGTTTATGTAAGTGTGGTTTGCATGTATGTGCTTGACAGATATGCAGCTGATTAGCTGGAAGTTACAGGCTGACATTTACTGTGGCAGTAGCCCCCAATACTTTGGTATCTTTCCAAAACTTTGAGCAGGGCAGTGAGTTTTTTCAGTGAATGAGTGAGTTAGTGCAGTGGTTTTGTTTTTATGGTCTTCCCTAGTTTGATGAGGCTAAGAGGCAGAGGGGATCCTTGACCTAATCTTGTTACAGTAAACAAGAGGTAAAGACTTCTAAACCTTCTGTTGATGTGATTGTTGAATGTTTAACAGTCTTTTGTTCCCAGTTGTTTACAGCAATTGAGTCTTTTCCCTTGTAGTGCTTGTGCTGCTGTACTCATTAGTGTGTATTCCAAGATGAATACCATATACGAGATTTGCAAATACTGTACAGCAGAAGATCTGTTCTCTGGTTTTGTTTGCTGAATGTTACACCTTCCAAAATATGTTAGTCCCTAATACTGAGAATATACCTCATGTCCTTAGGTAAAACAGCAAAGACAGGCAGGAGACCTTTTGTAATTGTCACTATCACTTTTTATGCAGTAGGCATTTAGGGATCTGAAATGAGAGGAGAAATAACAACAAATAAAACTGCCAGAGTTCTCTTATAAGTAATATCTATCATAGTGAATGTGCTTTTGAACTGTTTTTTCCCTTGAGTTATTTTTTTTTCAGACCTTAAGCAACTTAGAAAGTCAAGGAATTTGGGACTAGGGAGGAGGAAAGGAAGGAGGGTAATAAGGTTGTAGATTTAGGACCTGCAGATTTCCTCAAGTGTTACAATGATTTTCTGATGGGATAGATAACCCTCTTCTTCTATCTCATCCTGTGCTCAGTGATCCTCTGTTTCTAGCTATCATTTGAAACTACTTGAGCAGTTCAGTGTAAGTAAACCTTTTTCTCTTAGTACTTAGTTACAGTAGACAAATCCCAGGGATGATAGCTCAGGCATGGTTAGTTTTGGTTCACTTGTTAGCCATTGCTGGTTAAATCTGCTGTCCTGTCTAGCTAACAATTGTCAGACTCAGCAAAAAGCTTTAGAAAAGACTTGCTCTGTGATCCATTTGCCAAATACAGAGTTTAGTTCCTCCTCTGTAATCAAGCTGGAATCAGTTGATTATAGCTGAGATTTATCATGCCAGTATCCTGCTTGTTGTCCTTTCCCTGTCTCTTTGGTTAAGTGACTCCCATTGCTGGAAAAAAAAACAAATTTAATCTCAAATTCTTCCAATTTAGAAGTACATTTGTTATCTCTAAACAGTAGAATTTCTTTTAACTATAGAACATGAATTTGCTGAGAAGGGACAACTTCCAGAAGATTGTAGTCTCTTCTGGAGTTTGCTGTCTCCTGACAGATGGAGAAAGGTTTCAGTCCTTGAGCAAGAACACAGATAGTCTGATTCAGAGGAAACAATTGCTAGGTAAGAAATGTCATGTTGGATTTTTTTCCATTTCCTTCCCTTTTTTAAATCTACCTTTGTATTTCACTGTCAATTACATTTTTGGCATTGTGGCCAGGAAACCAGCTTCAAGCTGGGTTGATATTGCTGTGGGTCTGTTTTTCTTGAAGTTAGAAAAGTAGTTGTTTTTATTTTTCCCTCATTTAGAATATCTGGTTTAAATTACTTCACTTTCAATTGTAATCTCAAGGCACCTCATGGCTCAGTCCCTCTGCACAGAGGTCACCCCAGCTGCATTTGAGGTGCCTGCTGTTTGCCATGCTGGCTGGTGCCTGGCTCCTGCCTTGTCACAAGGATCTGGTGCTTGTCTGCACCCAGCTCCGTGCCAGAGGCCGCAGCCCTGACACAGAGTGCAGGAATACACACAGCCAGCTCGGGCTTGACACTGCCTGAGTTCATAAAACTTCTTGGGACCCAGAGCATGGGGGTAGCATTGCCAGGTGATGGCTTTGTCTGAAGTCTTCTCTTGCCTGTACAGACACAACCGAAGTGACTCACTTTAGATTGAAAAAGTGACTTCAGTCTTATGCCGAAAAGAAGATGCTGTGTAATTTTTAAACCTATAATGTCCCTAGAAGTGTAGGGACATTTGCACCCAGCTGTACCTCTGCTAATGAGCCCAGCTGGAGCTGATTTGTTTCTGCATCTCTGGTACAGATAATCTGACCATGGATAATTGAGTGTTGACTCTATAAATAACCCACTTTGAAATCCTTGTCTTAAAATTGTTTTCTCTTCTTCCTGTTAGCTTCCAAGCTTACTGTCTGTAGTCATTTCTTGGCTGACCAAGGGTTACTCTCATGTCTTGGCGAACATATGTCCTATTCATATCTTCCCACCTGAAGTGAATTGTTACACCAAGCATGGTGAAACCAGGTTCTTGCACTATACAAAGCCAGCTAAGTCCTAGTAGGAAATAATCATCCTAATGTTTTACATATGCTCCAATTGACTCTTGTGGTTTAAACTAAAAATGACTGATGCACATGAAACATTTGATACCTTGGAAAGATACTTATTGCATGCTTCTTCTCAGAGACATCATTTTACATATATAATAGTTAAATGTCTTCAGGTAAAACTGATTCATTTGTATGGACTTGCTTCAAGTTGGACTTCTAATCATCTTGGTTTGTTTGCTTACTGTCAGTGT